CTTACGCTGCTGTCGCGGCCGGAGGGAGGCCGCAAGGTAGAGGAGGAGGCCAGGGCCAAAGGGGCCAGGCCATGGGAGGCCGAGGACCGGGCGCACAGGGGGTTGGTGGACAGGGAAACCGCCAAGCGGGAGGTAGGGGTCAAGGTCCCGCGTTAAATCGCCAGGGTAACCGGTCCCCACAACGGATTTCGTAATCAATCTGCAGTTCTAATCTCTAGTCCTAGATTTTGTCATCTCTTAAATTCGAAATTTCAAATTCCTAATTACTAGATGCTTAAACACTCATCCTGAAATTTGCGAATTCTCAGTTGAAGAACTTCGTAGTCTTTTGACTTGATATCTGTCTGTGAGTCAATCATGATGGAATTTTGATAAGTTAATTTTTGACGCTTTAGGGATGCGAGGGTTTACCCCTTGGCATAAGGCCCTGCAGCAGGCACGTGCCCAGACTAAGTGAAGGCGGCCCCCCTGAATCTCGATGTCGCCAGACAGCTGCCACGCGGCAGGTGGTTACATCCACTTTGCTCGTGAGAATTGGAAATATGCTTGAGCCTTTCAGGCTCTTCCAACAACGTGGTCCAAGCAGGGAACACGACACATTTGTGGTGGTTGGGGATGCCTAACCAATTCGGTCCCAGGCCGTTGTCTGAACGGGCCTGGGCACAGACACTTTGGCCCAACCTGAAGCTACGAGGCACACGCAAGGCCGGCCAGGCAGCCGACCAGCCAGGCCACTTTGCATATAGCAAAGTGCCTGCCCTCGCAGCCAAGGCTGTGCACTAGCGCAATGTGCTGGGAGGTACGCACGTGCAGTGCGTGTGAGCAGGGCGCCGCTGAGGGCAGCGTCATAGCCCAGTCCACGGAGCTGGGCTTGGGCTTGGGCAGCCATCGAGAGGTGGTGGTGGTCTTCATTAATGGGGGAGAAGACGGGGGTGTAGAAGTGGAGGGTGAGAGAGAGAGAGAGAGAAATGAGGATGATGATGTGAGGGCAAGTACCTGGTCTTGGCAATGGTCTACAGAGTCGACATCTTAATGTACTTCGGTTGTTGCTGCTGACATTAACAGGATGCATTGTGAATTTGCACAATGCTAGTAGCTGTGTGATTGTAGTCTGGGCGCTGAGCGCCAAGTAGGAGGAAGGGCTATGTGTGATGGGGCTGAGGCAACGAGGCTGGGAGAGAGAGGGAGAGAGTGAGAGCACACACACACACTCACTCAACTCGACGCAGACTCGACACGACTCGACGGACCCAGACACGAAGTGGCAAAGTCGAAGTCTTGGATTTCCGAACACAATGTCGAAGCAAGTCACCGAAGCACAAGTACAGCAGCAGAAAACTGGTACAAGACTGGTCCCTGTACCGTACGGGGAGCCGGTATTAGTACCGGTGACACGTACGGTACCAGGGGCATTTCTGCAAAGGCCCCGAGGGCAGAACTGAAAAATGCGGTATTTGAAAGTGGCACCCGAATTGCAGCATGGCGCCAGTTGTCCAAAATCCTATGGTACCAAAGGAGGGGTTTGGAAAAAGGGTGCCAGGCCGAAACTGGGATGCAGCCGAAACAGCACAAGGATAGACCAGGGATCGAGCCCTGGCGGAGTCCGTAACAATATCCCCTACCTCTAGAAGGCAACGTCCCGGCTGCCACCAAAATCGTGAAGCAATGCTGAAATCTGTGAAGGACGGGACGGGGCCGATCACTGGTTAACAAGTCAAAAGGGAAGAGGGGTATAATGTGGGTGGCATGGGCTGCGGGAGTAAGAGGGAACAGGGTTTGGTACCGGTGAACAGGGTTGTCCTACTGATGAACTGGGGGGGGTTGCAGGGAACAGGGTAGTCCTACAAATGAAGTGAAGGGTCGGCAGGGAGCAGGGTAGTCCTACTGATGGAATAAGGGGACTACATGGTTTGCTATAGGTCAAGGGGGAACAAAGTTCAGGGAACAGGGAACTTCTATTGATGTTCTACTGGATAAGGGAAACGGTGTTCAGGAAAACAGGGTATTTCTATTGATGTTCTAGTGGGTAAGGGAAACAATGGTCAGGGGAAACAGGGAATGCCTATTGATGTTCTAGTGGGTACGGGGAACAATGGTTAGGGAAACAGGGATCTGCTAATGATGTTCTACAGGGTTGTCAAAAAAAAATGAAAATGTTTGTTCAGGATGCAAGGGCTGGTTGTTTCCGAAGAAGCAACATCTCATGTGGGAACAAAGTGTCCGAGTGTCTTGAAAGGAGGTCTGCAGCGGTCTTGATCAGGTTTTGGAGTAGGTGGTGGAAGCGGTCTTCAGTGGCTGCAACGGGTAGAAGTCCAAGAAGCGTAGCAGTAGTCCACATGTCCAAAGTCCAAGTGATAGGGAGCGTCCGGTACATGAACTGCAATGAGGTCTGATCTGGAAGCAGGTAAGTCGCAGACTGATGCAAGTGTCCATGTCGCAAGATGCTGCTCCAGTAAGTCTGCGAGTCGGGATGCCGGCCGATGAAACAGCATGGTGGCCAAACCAGCTGCATAATCTCCATGAATGGTGAGGCAGCAGGCCATCGTCCTCATGCGCTTGCCATTAGATCCTTTATCGCCGGCGTCACGCAGGTCCACAAGCATTGGACAAGAGAGACAAGGTAGTGGACAGATGGGACAAGGCTAGGCGAAGGTAAGGGCAGATCAGACATCAGGAATCAGGGTCAAGGGGAGGGTGGCTGGGTTCAAGGGTGTGTGTAGAGCAGGGTTGCGAGGGTTTAGCAGGAGTTTATGCCATAGTTGTATAGGTATCTAGGACATAGGATTAGCACGATCATAGGTGCGGACAAGTTTCATGGCGTTCTTAAGATTAGAGGGAGGTTCCCATGTAGATTCTTCGTCGGGGTATCCGGTCCATTYGACTTTGTATTCAGTGATTGGTTCCGGATGATCAGATACCTGAGTGGTTCGTTGGCCGATGATGGTTTCGACAATAAATTCCGGGTCTGTGGGTAGCATGATTGGTGGAGGTCTAGGATATGGGCGGTCGGCGAACTGGGGCAGGGATTCATGGTATTCTTTTAGGTACTCGACGTGGAAGACTGGGTGGACATGACTCATGTCAGGGGGAAGTTGTAGTTGACGGGGGAGGTTTGTTCAATGATGGGGAAGGGACCGAGCCATTTGTTGGAGAGTTTCTTGGACMAGCCGTGTTCGGGTTCAAAGCGTTTGGCGGAGAGCCAGACTTTGTCCCCTACTTTGAATGACACGTCGTGTCTATGTTTGTTAGTCTTGTTGGCTTGTTGTTCTTGGGTTCGTTCAATGGCTTCGGAGGCTTTTCTCAGGAGTCTGTTCATTGTTGTTACCCATTCATTGAGAGAGGGGCAGGGGGTGGATGGGTTAAGCTACGAAGGAAGCAAGAAGTCAGAGGGCAATCGAGGGTGGTAGCCAAGATCGACGTAAAATGGAGACATGCCGGTGGAAGGGCAAACGACGTTGTTGTAGGCAATCTCGGTGGCTGTGAGCAACTGATCCCAATCGTGTTGGTGACGATGACAATACTTCCGCAGGATTCTTTAGAGAGTATCGTTCATCTTTTCGTTTGTCCATTGGTCTGTAGATGGAATGCGGCGCTATACTTGAGCGTTGTTCCATAGGCCGTGAAGAGGTGTTTCCAGAATTGTGAGAGAAAGCGAGGATCACGGTCACTGATGATGTTCTCAGGGAGGCCATGATGGCGAGCAACGTGGTCAAAGAAGAGTGTGGCGACGTCTTTGGCACTATGCGAGGTCGTGCAAGGGATGAAGTGGGCATGTTTGGTCAAGCGGCAAACAATGACGTAGATGCAATCATGCCCACGGTCGGTCTTGGGAAGGCCGCACACGAAGTCCATGGAGATGGACTGCCACCGGTGAGTTGGGATGGGCAATGATTGGAGCTTGCCGGGTTTGGCCCGGTTCGAGGGGTTGACACGTGGGCCATGAGCGAATGTATGCTTTGACATCGGCGAGCAGGGAAGGCCAGTAGAAGTAGCGGGAGATGGTGTTGAAGGTTTTTTGGAAACCGAGGTGTCCTATGGTCTTGGTGTCGTGGTGCTCGGCCAAGAGTTGAGTACGGAGACCACGTGCGTCGGGGATACAAAGTCGGCGAGTGCCTTTGGTATCGATGTAGAGAAGGTTGTCGTGAAGGGAGTAGTCGGGGATTGGGTCAAGATCGCGGAGCTTGTTGTCGATGGTGTCGAAGTCTGGGCAAGACAGGTAGCCTTGTTTGTATCGGTGATGGAGTGATAGGAGGAGTTGGATATGAGTCATGGCGGCATAGACTTTCTCGGGGGGCTTGTGGTCGGGTCGTCGAGAGAGGGCATCCGCAACGTGGTTGCTTTTGTCGGGGGTATGGCAAATGGTGAATGTGAACTAGGCAAGGAAGTCTAGCCAGCGGGTTTGGCGTGGAGTGATATCTTTCTTGGAGAGGATGGAGGAGACGATGGTGTTGTCAGTGCGGATGGTGAAGTATTGCCCGTCGAGGTACGGGCGCCAGACTGTGAGGGCGTGAATCACGGCGAGGAGTTCCTTCTCGTTGGAGGGGTAATTCATCTCCGCGGGAAGGAGTTTCTTGCTAGCGAAGGCGATGGGATATTCGCCAGGTGGAGCCTCGGGGTGAGTGGGGGAGTTCTTGATGGAGGGGGTATCGACGGTGTCACGAGGGAAATGTTGGGACAGTACGGCTCCAATGGCGAAGTCGGAGGCGTCAGTGGTGACATAGAAGTGGCGGGTGGGGTCGGCGATTTTGTGGACGAGGGCCGTGGTGATGGTTTGTTTGAGTAGATTAAAGGCGTGCTGGCGGCGATCGTTCCAAGTGAAGGGTTTGTCCTTGCGTGTGAGTTCGTGGAGGGGGTAAAGAGATCTCGGAAAAGTTGCGAATGAACGGGCGGTAATAGTTGGCAAGGCCAAGGAAGGAACGGAGTTGGAGGAGGGTCTTGGGTGGGGGGTATTCGACGAGGGCTGTGACCTTCAAGGGATCCATCAGCGAAGACAATGTGGCCGAGGTATTCGATGCTTGAAGCAGCAAATGTACATTTGCTGAGCTTGGCATATAATTTTTGCTCTCGGAGGATCGAGAGGACTTGGCGGAGGTGCTGAAGGTGAGACTCGAAGGTGGGGTTGAAGACAAGGATGTCATCAAGGTAGAGGACGACACAGACTTCGAGGAGGTTGCGGAAGATGTGGTTCATGGTAGATTGGAAGGTAGCGGGGGCATTGGTGAGTCCGAATGGCATCACGAGGAACTCGTAATGCCCGAACCGAGAGCGGAAGGCGATCTTGTGGGTGTCCTCCTCGCGGATACGGATCTGGTGGAAGCCACTACGAAGGTCGATCTCGGTAAAGTACTTGGCTCCACGGAGACGATCAAGGAGCTCGGAAATCCGAGGTAGGGGGTACTTGTTCTTGATCGTGATCCGGTTCAAGGCGCGGTAGTCTGTGCACATGCGGAGTTCCGAAGTTCCACCTTTCTTGACGAAAAGGCAGCTGGTTCCGAAGGGGGATGAACTTGGCTTAATGAACCCTTTTTCAAGGAGTTCACCGAGTTGCCGTTTCATTTCTTCGGCTTCGGGGACAAAAAGTTGGTATGGAGGGCGGCAAGGTGGAGAATSTCCGGGTTCCAAATCGATGGAATGGGATACGCCACGATCTGGAGGTAGTCCGACGGGTAAGGATTCGGGAAAGACGTCCTTGAACTCGTCGAGGATTGAGGTGATGGCGGGGTTGGAGGGGGGGGTTTGATCGGGTTTGTCCGTCGGGAGTAAGTCCTTGGGACTTTCGCGATCAAGGACAAGACAGTAGTAGGGGGAGTCGGGGTTTAGGCGAGCCATGTGGAGGAATTGGTGTGGGGTGACGGAGCGTTGGGAGGTCGGATATGGGAGATAGGGGATGTTGATGGTTGTGTCGGGGGGGTTGGTGAGGCGAAGGAAGCTCAGGTGGAATGCGTATGGCATGTAGCGGTCCAGCCACGGGGTTCCTAAGACGATGTCGCACATCAAGTGCATGACATCAAACGAGATCAGACTGCGGAGGGTTCCGACGGTCATGGTGGTCTCGGGAACCGTGCGGTCTACTATGACAGGGGTGTCTTTGTCCCCTAGGCGAATCGTGATCGGGGAGTCATAACCGGTAGAGGTAAGACCGGCTTTGYGGACACACGCGTCGGTGATGAAGTTACCGGTGGCTCCAATGTCGAGGAGGGCCCGGAACTTAGTTGTAGACACACCAAGGGTGGTGGCGATGAATTTGAGGTGGAAACGAGATGAGTTGGCGGTGGAGATGATGGTGTTGAGGCTGCGTTGTTCGTTGCCTAAGCGGACAAGCCGATCGTGTCGAGCCTGTTCCTCAACAACATCAGAGAAGGTGACAGTGGATGGGTTTGGAAGAAGGGTAGAGGAGCATGGGGCAGTGAGAGGTGTTTGCGATACCTGGGAGTCGTCCGGTGGAGGGGGCGTCACCGGGGAGGGGGGAGGCAGACGAATTGTCGATGCCAGGTCGATGTCGTGGGGACTGTGTTCATGATGAGGAGGGACCCGCGCTAGCCGAGGGTGGTGATGCAGAGGTTGCGGGTTGAGTGGAGGCAGACTAGCGGGTGAATTGTGCGGCGTTGGGGCAGTTGGTTTGTTGGTGCCCCGTGACAATGGAAGCAACCCCCTTTTGCTTGGAGGTAGGTGCGCTCSTCGGGGGTGAGTTTCTTGAGGCGGAAGGGTGGGGTAGATGAGGGTGGTCGGGAGCTGCGATCTCTGCGCTCCATCCTCATGAATTGGACGATATTGAGTTCCTCGGAAGTGAGGGATGAAGAGTTGAGTGAATTGGAAGATGCATCGGGGTCAGGTGTGGTGAACTCGTTCGAGGTAGTGATGGAGGTGGTGTCTTCAGGGGTGATGTGGTGGAAAAAGCGGGTGCGGGAGGGGGCGGGCGCGGGCTGGTGGTGGGGGTGGAGGAGTCGATCGTTGTGAAGCGTGCGAGACAGGAGGTCAGCAAGGGGCATGTTGGGTTCGTGGACGAGGGCGGTTGCAAGGTCTCTGTGGCATACTCGTTTGATGCGGGAGATGAACGCAAAGTCGGGAATGACGGTGGTGGGGAGGTGGTGGCGGAGGGAGCGGACGTATTGGRCGAAGCGGTCCGTGGGACCGGTCCGTGGGACCGGTCTGGCGAAGGTGGCAGAATTGTTCAAGGTAGTCATCAATGGTTTTCTGGGGGCGGAAGGTGGTAGTGAGAAGGTTGGCCCATTGGAGGAAGGAGTGACGTGGTCGTCCAGAGGCTCGACAGTTGCTGACTTCAGCCATCCACCATTTGGCGGCATTGCCGAGGAGGCGGGAGGTGGCAATGGGGAGCTAGTGGGCAAGGGGCATGTGGTGGAGGTGAAAAGAGTTCTGGAGCTGGGTTAGGAAGAGGAAAACGTCCTCGTGGGGGAGGCCGGAGAAGGACATGATGTGGACGGATCGAAACGAACGGGGGATTTCCCCGTCGCGGGGAACGATCCGGCAAGGGTGTTGAAGCTGAGGTTATCGGGGGTAGTGTTGTAGCAGGTGTAGTCGAGTTGGTTGTTGTCCTCAAGGAGGTAGTTGGGGGGGAGTTGTGGCATTGCGGGGTAAACCCCGGAGGTGACTTGGGAATCGGTGGGACGGATGGTGGGGATGGTGGAGGTCGTCATGATGGGTTGGGGAAGGGTATGAGAGTGCGGGGAGGGAAGAGGGGTGACGTGGATGGGCGAGGAATGGGTGTGTTGGATGCGCCGGATGAGGGAGGAGGTGGGGGGAACAAAACGGTGGTGGAGGTTGAGGAGGAAGGGTTGGTGGCTATGGCGGTAGAGGTGGTAGGAGTGGAGGAGGTCGGCGAGGGGGTGTTGCTAGAGGCGGCTGTTGAGGAGGGAGTGGTTTGCGTTGTGGAGGAGGAAGTGGTTTGCACTGTGGAGGCGGGAGGTGGCCATGGTGACGACCGTGATGGAGGGGTTGTCCCCTTCGAGCGTGGTGACGCGGTCGGATATGGACGACACGGTGGCCTTTATGTCGTCCAGAGAGGTTTGGAAGGTATTGAGTGCGTGGAGGATGGCGAAGAGGTAGGAGGTGGCGGTGTTTGCTGGTGGTTGTTCGCCTGCGAGGTTGCGGGCGATGCTATCGACCGAGTCGGTGCGGATGTCAGACATGTTGATGGAGGATGCGGTCATGTCGAGGGAAGAGGGGGTGGAGGACGTGGCCGGAACGGATGTGGAGGGTGCCGCAGCAACGGTGGCGGCGGCAGCAGCGGAGGCGGCAGCGACGACGCGTTGGGAGTTCTTGGTTTGGCGTGGTGGCATGTGGAGATGGGGGGGACAATTCCTATGTACAAGAATAGAGTGTCATCAAGTGATTTAGCAATAAAGGTAGCAGAGAATCGCAAAGCAAGAATTAATTTTGAATAAATTATTTTTAATTTATTCGAAATGGATTCGCGAGTGTATTTTTTAAGAAAATACAAAAGCGAAATTTTTAGGAATTTCCAAATGAAGAAAAATAATAATTAATTCCAAGAAAAATAAATTCCGATGAAATTTATTCGGATTTACGTTCGGGGTAAAATTTTGTAATTTCGAAAAGGGGTGATTAATTCCGAGTAAAAGAGATTAATTCAGTCGTGAATTAATTGAGTTTAGTCGCAATTAATTAAGGAGTCCAAGGAAAAAAAGGAAGTACTTCTGAATAAAAAGAAAATTTCGAAAAAGAATTGCAAAAAAGAATTTTTTGAATTTCAAGAAATATTGCAAAAAGGAATTTTATGAATTGAAAAATATGAGAAAAAGAATTAATTAGAATTATTTTCGAATTTCCAAAAGAAATATCAAAAAAGAATTTAATTAATTCTAACCTAGGCTACCAGTCAGGCCACCCGGGTCCCGGGTGACCAGCCCGTGCAAAGACCAGGGAAGGTCCTAGCAAAAAAAAAAAAAAAAAACAATTCCCAAAAATCTGAAAAAAACAAAACAACTTTGCCTCACGGTCACACCGAAATTCTTCACCAAATTGGAAAAAAATAATAATAATAATAATAATTATTATTTTTTTATGTTTTTTATTTTTTTGGCCCGGTCGGGCAAGTGACCCCGGGCCACTCTGGTAGCCTAGATTGTAATGTATTTTCAAAATTTTCGAAAAAGAATGAAGTAAAAGTAATTGCGAACTTCGAAAATAAAATTGTAGAGAAAGAATTGATTAATCCGAACAAAAAGAATTTAATTAATTCTGAAATATTTTTGGATTACAAAAATTTCGGAAAACAATTAATTAAAATTATTTTCGTAATGTCAAAAAAAAAAAATTAATTGTAAAATGTTTTCAAATTACAAAAATTTCAGAAAAAAATAAGTTAAATTCTTTTTCGAATTTCGAAGAAGAAATGCCGAGAAAGAATGATTAATCCTACTTATTTTCGAAAAAAGAAAATATTTTTGAAAAGGAAAATATTTTTTGAAAAAGAAATGTCGGGAGAGATAGTTAATTAAGTATTTATAAGAATTTCAAATGGGTTCTAAAATAATAAAAAAAAAAAGATAAATGAATAAATGAGTTTTGATGTAAATCGAGGGCAGAGTGATCCTATCTACTATTGATTGGGTGGTAGCGTGGTAGGTAGGGTACGGGTAGATTGATGATGATGATCATAATGATGATAGGGGGGGAACATGGGGAAAAGTCGTGCATGGGGGGGGGGAAGCGGACTCGAGGGATCGCATGCAGGTTATGCGTGGGAGGGAGGAAGTCGTGGAAGTGGGGATCGGGGGAAATCGGGGGAATCCGGGGGGGGCGGGAGGTCGGGGTCGGGGAATCGCACGGGAAACACGCGGGGATCGGGGAAGGGCGGAGGAATGGGTCGAGATCAGGGGGGCAGGGGTAGAAGGTGGCACGCAGTGGGGGAGGGAATGTCGGGGGAAGGGGATCCCGGTTGGTGTTG